GCAGAGACCAGCGGGAGGGGGAAGGCGCTCAAACCATAAACCAGCTGCACGCGCCCATTGCCTGGAAGGGCACGGACGGAGCCGCGTTAGTCACAGCTGCCTGCTGAGCCAGGGGTCAAGCCCCTTCTGGCCACGGGGCCGTTGGATGCTGGGGGGGGTCTGGCTGCAGCTGGCCAAGGGGGTGAGGGCACGTGTCCCTGGCGGGATGCTCCCGTGGTTGGCGTGTCTGGCACCAGGTGCTGGGTGAGTGAGGGGCCCCGACCTGAGTGCCCGTGCGGGGCCCGGCTGGGGTCAACCCATGTGTACATGGAGCCTGGTGCCAGCTCCCTGGGGTGCACGCACATTAGTGCCTGTGGTTCCATGGCTGGGCGTGCTCTGACCACGGCTGGGCGTGCAAACAGCATGGGCTGTGGTGGGGCCGCCTAGGGAGGTGCACACAAGTGTGTGCATCTGTGTTTGCACACGCATGTTTGTGCATGCACACATGCGGGTGCGTATATGCTGCTGTTCATGCATGCGTGCAGTGTCTGTGCACGTGTTTGCATACAAGCTTGTGTGCGTGCATGTGTTTGCATGCTTGTGTGCACATGCACATACCTGCAGGTGCATATGCGCGTGTGCATGCATGCTCGTGTGTGCATGGGTGCACTTTCTCCGCAGCCTCGGGCCCTTTGTGTGGCGTTGCCCTCTTTGCCTGCTGTGGGTCAGCTCGGCGGCCTGGCGCTCCCGTGGCACACGCACCCTACCCGGAGCCCGGCTGGCAAAGGCAGTGCTGAGAGTGGGTGCCTGGGGCAGTCCCCTGCAGCTGGCTGCATGTTCCTGCTGCTGCCACGCGTCCCCGCCACACTCCCGTGCACAGTGCAGGGGTGGGGGGGGGGCTCTCCCTTTCCCAGCAGCCACCGTAAAGCGCTTCCTGTTGCGGTTCCCTGGCCCCCGAGGCCACGTGCGTTTCCCCAGGAAGGAGACCAGCGTGGCGGCTGGCCCAGCAAGGCCACGGCGAGGACCCAGGCATCCCGATGCCTGGCCTCCCAGCCCCATGCCACGTCTCTGCAGCACTGGGAGCTGAGCCTGCTGTGTCCGGGCTTCGGCCGCCTGGCCGTGAAGAAGAGCCGGGCGGGCCAGAGGCTCGTGCGTGTTGCGGGGGGGATGTTTATGAGCCTGCAGCACGCCTGGCCACGCTTCCGCTCCCACGGGAGCCCATTATTTGCCCTTTGCCCCTCCTCTCCGCCGGCCTTGGAAGGCCCCGGCTCTGGCCGCCCACGGCTGGCCCCACTGGGAGTGCAGGGAGCTGCTTGCCAGCAGCCGGGGCCGCGGGAGCCGGCCACTGCATCCCCCAGGACACAGCCGGGAGCCGGTGCGCAGGGCCCCGGGCTCGTCTCCCACCACCATCTGCAGCCTGCAGGCGTGGGGGAACGGGGGTCCTGGGATTTGTGTGCGCACGCGTGTGTGTGGGCCATGCATTGCGTGTGTGTGTGAGAGCGAAATTGGCAGGCCTTAGGCCAAGGTGTGTGCGTGTGTGCGTGAGAGCTCAGGGCCAAGCTCCGTGTGTGCATGTGTTTGCACGCTCCTTCCGTTCACACGGGTCTGGGGAAGGCACCAGCTGGCCCGTCTGGCACTGCGGGACCCCTCCACGCAGCTCGGCTGCCAAGGGACCGGGTGCTGCGGGTGCCGGGCAAGGCAGGGCGTCCCCAGCTGAGCGCGGGGAGCTAGGCTTGGGGCGGGCGCTGGCAGGGGCAACAGAGCTGGGGGCAGGCACCCGGCTTGTAAAGCTGGGCCCGGGTGCGGGAGAGGGGCCGCCACAGCAAGAGCTCATTAGCCCAGCTCCGGAGGGCATGGAGCAGCCCTCCTGGACCCGCTGTTTTATAGGGCTGTGGTATTACCCACAATCCCCCCCTCTTAAAGGAGAATGCCCTCATTTGAATGGCTCTCACATGGGATCTGGGGGGCCGAGCCCCACGCAGCCCCGGGGGTTGGGGTCCCTTGCGGTGCTTCGTACCGGGCTCTAGGGTCCCAGAGGTCCCGGGGGCAGCTCCGGGGTGCAGAGTGGGGGAAACTGAGGCACAGAGGGGCTGCCCCACACCCCCCACAGTGGTCCCCTGCTCGGGAGGAAGGTGCTGGGGGCTGCATTTACAGAGGCGTCCGCCCGGGGCCTGGCCGGATGTGGCCACCGGGGTTGGGTTCTCAGCTCTAATTATAAACCCCACAAACACTGCCAGCCTGTTCTGCCTCCCCACAGCAGGCGGGCAGGGCCCGGGGGGGCATGTGCCTGCAGGCAGCGCTGCTCAGGCCCTCGCCTCGTCCCTGCCCTCTCTCGGGGTCCCCAGAGCAACATGCAAGGCGGAGGGGGTTGCACTTTGCAACCGGATTTAGCAAGCACGAGGGCCCCCTGCTTCCCCCCACGATGTAGGAGGGGCAGGATTTGATTGCTCCAGGCATCTCGGCAGCCTGGGGGGTTGTGACAAGTTTGCAAGAGCTCAGCTGGCCGTTCAAAAGCCCCCCCGCCCCGCCACCTTCGCAGCCCGGCCTGTTCTCATCCCTGCAGGCGGGGGTAGCTGGTGGCACCCTGCCCGGGCGGGGAGCCCGGGAGTCCTGCCTCGGTCCTTCTCAGGCTGGGCAGACCCTCAACCCCGCCGGACTCAGCCAGGGTGGGCACGAGGGTTGTCTCGACTCCTCCTGCGGCTTCCTCCTGTGCAGCAGGGATGCCGCTGCAAATGGTGCGGAGCTGGCCCCCAGCTTTGGGGTGCAACAGCCCTCCCCCCCCATACTCCAAGGGGTCTCACTCCCCGGCTGCTTCCAAAGGAGCTGGGGGGGCTGCACAGAGCGGCTCGGCTGCTCCCCGCCGGCGCCCCCATCCCGGCCCCGGCGCGGGGCATGCCGGGAGCAAGGCAGACTGCGGAGACTCGCTGCGAAACAAGGCCGCCCTTTTATTCTTTTACGGCTGTGGTTTTGCAGCCGCCGGCGCCCCTCCCTGCCAGCTGGGCCCGTACGGGGCCCCGGAGAAGAGCCCTGGCGGAGGCGCCGGGCCCCAGCCGGAGAGCGCGTGTGTTTTCGGCAGCCCTAATTGGCTTGGCTTGAGCCGGGGCCAAGGCGAATGCTGCGTGGGGAGGCTCGGCTTACACACCGGGGGCCCCTTGCACACCCCCACGCTGCACATGGCCTCTTTTAATGGGGAAGGGGAAGCGGAGCTGGTTGTGGGGGGGGGTGATGCACACACAGGTGCGCACATGTGCATGCACACAGATGCGTGGGTGCACGCACACACGCTTCAGGCAGGAGCAGCCCAGCCAGGTGCGTGTGCAGCCTGCACGTAGATGCTTTCAGGGACTGAGATGGCATCCTGCTCCGGGGGAGGTCCCTAGGTTGAACCCCAGGCTCCTCCTCTCTGCACCCCGGAGCCTGCTGGGGGCTGGGAAACCCACGAGGCAAGCTGGCCTAGTGGTCAGAGCCTGGGCTGTTGAGGACAGCTGCGTGCAGCAGGCACCTGGGGCCTGATCTCTCCCAGCGAGAGATTACCAGCTCACTGCAGGCTCAGCCTCTTGCCTCAGTTTCCCCATACATGCCTGCTGGGGTAATGGCCTCGGCCCCCCGACTCGGGGCTGGCTGGGGGCGCGTCTTGGGCCCTGTCCAAGCGCCTTTTCCGGTTTTGGATGGAAATGTTTGGGCTTCAGCCTCTTCTAGAAGAGCAGGGCCTTGGAGGGACACATGCATGCATGCATGCACATACATATGTGTGTACCCATGTGCACATACGCACATGCACTCCCACATGTGCATGCTGACATGCCTGCGCATGCATGCACACAGGCACATAGGCACACCCCCAAAAACACATGCATGGGCACAGACACACACACACACGCACACACACGGGCACTCACGCTTCAGGCAGCACCAGCCAGCCCAGCCAGGTGCGTGTTCAGCCTGCACGTAGACGCCTCCAGTGCGAGCGCATCCTTCTCCCAAGGTAGTTCCTGTGTTTCCCTGGTCTCTGCTCATCCGTGCTGCTCTCCCCGGGGCTCTTGCCAATCCGCTCCTGTCCTTCTGCCCAGGAGCATGTGCGATCCTAGCAGCCAGCCCCCGGGAGGAGTTGAATGCCACCTCCCGGCGGACGGTGCCAAAGCGGTGCCCTTCTTCGGGCCAGGCACAGGGGACCGGGGAGAGTTTCTGCCTCATTGGGAGCTGGGTCTGGCTGGCTCAGAGCAGCACCGAAAGGTTTCCCCGAGCTCCTCCGCCGTTGTCCCCGCAGGCAGGGCTGAGCTAGGCGAAGTGCCCCAGGCACGGGGAGCACCCCTGCCAGCACCAGGCCAGGCCCAGCTCCCCTCCGGCTGCAGCCTTTTCCCCCTGGAGCCATCCAGACGTTCAGCCCCTGCCTTGCTCTGCTGCAGCCACCAAGGGGTTAATGGATCCTGTGATCCAGAGCAGGGATCCCTGCATCATCCTGCTGCCCCGAGCCACTGCACCTGAGCCCCGCCGGCCCGAAGGGGCCCCGTGTGTTGGCTGCAGGGCGGCGAAGCCAGCGGCCCCGAGCCCAGCGCCCGCTGTTTGCTTTGGCTCCCAGGCTTGGCTGACCTGCTGCCTCCAGGCTCGCCGGGCGAAGGAGAGCCTGGGGCTGGGGCCGGCTGGGCGCTGAGCTGCCGCGTGGTCCCGTCTCGTGCTCCTGCCGGCACCGGAGCAATCCCGCCCCTGGCCCAGGGGCCGAGTCCAGGGGTGCGCTTTTGGGACAGAAAAAGGGGTCCCAGCGCGTGGCCAGGGGACAGTCCTGTCCTGCCGAACTCAGACCAGGGCCCCATGTCTCCCCGATCCTGGGTGTAATGGCTTGGCTGTTGGTGCTGGCTCCGTGCCTCGCCCCCGTGCCCTGACCCCCGTGCCCCGGCGGCTGCCTGCATTGAAAAGCAACCGGCAGGGGGATCATTTTTGCAGCAGGGGAAAGGGAGCAGGGCAGGAAGGACTTATTTTTCCTACAAATAACACCCCCCCCCCCCTTCCTCTCCCCCAGCCCTGCTCCAGCTGGCAAGACCCAGGCTTGGCCGCGGCCCCGAGCTCTGCAGTTGCTGCTCGACGCCTGCCAGCGCCTCGGGTTACCGAGCCGGAGCCAGGACTCGCCTCCCGCACAATGGGGCCAAGGGGGAGGAGGAGCAGGAGTAGCGGGTTTTTCTTGGAGCGCCTTTCCCAGGCTCCAGCGGCAGCCGGGCGAGGACGGCCGTGCCCTGCCTGCCCGCAGCCGTGGGCCAGCCCCGGGCTGCCATGGGGAGCCGCGGCGCGGGCTGCACCCCCAGGCGATGAAGGTATGTGGGGGGCACGCATGCCCCGCCGGGGCACGGGGTCAGGGACTCCCTGCGGCCGGGGCGAGAGGGTGGAGCCACTTCCTAGGGTGGCGTGGCACGGGGCTGGGACAGCCGGACCTGGTGGCTCCGGTTCTGCCCCGAGGGGCTACTTTGGGTGTTACCCCGTGTGCGGCTGTAGCTGGATCTGTGGGGCTGTCCTGGGTGTTACCCCGTCGCTGGATCCGTGGGGTTGTGCCGAGTGTTACCCCATGTGCAACTGTAGCCGGATCCATGGGGCTGTGCCGGGCACTACCCTGTGTGTGCTTGTAGCTGGGGCCACGGGGAAAGCCCTGCTCTGCCACGTGGGCACCGGCATCTCACGTGGGTTCACTGCAGCCTTCCCACACGCCGCTCCAGTGCCCGCCCAGCTCCCTGGCCTCTCCGTGGCCTCTGCAGGCCCCCGCCTGCCACGATGCCTGCGGGCGTCGGGAGCTCGTTAATCTCCTGGCGTTGACATTTTCTCCGCCGCCGTCTGTTGTTCGCTGCCTTGTCGCCGTGCCCGAGGCTGTCGGGCGGGGGCCTCCGTGCCGGCATCCCCAGCCGTGTGGGGAGCTCCAGGGCAGCCGCACTCAGCCATGAGCCGGCATCGCTGCTGGGCTCCAGCTCCCAGGATGGTGGCCCCGTGTCTCCAGCCTCCTGCTTCGAGGATGGCCAGAGCCTCGCGCCTCCCCAGCGGGGTCTGGGCACCATCCGTGCTCCCCAATCCCCCGTATATCAGGGGGATAATATCTGGGGCACCGTCTCCACGTCGGGGGTCCAGAGCCGGGTGGGATTCTCCTGCCAGCTGCGGTCAGGACGCTGGCGACACAGCCCTCTCCCGGGCACCGCAGCCCTGGCAAGGGAAGAAAGGAATGAGGCGCCGGTGGCTTCCCAGGCAGCCGACCCCCTGCGGGCACCACAGCTGGGGGGGAGGCTGCCCCAGCCTGCCAGCGCCAGGCATCCCGGAGCCAGACCCTCCTCCATGGGGCCGGGCTGCCGCGGCTGGTGCCAGTGGGATCTGGCTGGGCTTCCCCCGTGGCAGCGGGTCACGGTTTCATTGTGGTGCCTTCAGAGCCAAGCAGGGGGGCAGGCCTGGCACCCTGGTCCCACACAGCCTCCCATGCCCCTGCCCTGCTCCGATTGACCTGGGGGAGGCCCAGCCTTGGCCAGAGCAGGGCGACAGGGAGGGCAGCAGGGATAGAGGCCCTGTGGCTGCCCCATGCATGGTGAGCCAGAGCCTCGCCACACTGAGCACCTCTGCAAGCCCACCTACCACCCTGCTGCAGCCCCCAGCAGCATACAGCCCCCCCTGCCTCCAGCCCTCCGTCACCCCAGCACCTAACAGCTGCTTCATGTCCCTGGCACATGCGTGATATACATGCATGCATGTAGAGTGCACAGGCATGTATACACACATGTGCCTGCACATGCACACACATGCATGCATATGTGTGGCCACACACGTATCTGCACACCGATGCATGCATTCACTCACGTGCATGTACACACTCCTACACATAGAAGATTCACAGATGCACATGTTTAGGGCTGGAAAGGACCTCATGAGATCATTGGGTCCAGCCCCCCTACTCCAGGCAGGAAAGACTGCAGGGGTCAAATAAGCACATGCATGCACACATGTATGCACATGCACGCATGCATATACTTGCATGCGCATGCGTGCACATGCACACAGCCCTGCTACTGCAGGCCTCCAGCTCTGCATGTCTGTGGGCTCTGCACTCAGTGTCTCGTTGGCCCGCGGTGGGAGCCCCTCCCTTGCCGGCCCTGCGGTGCGTGGGTGGGGGGCCCAGGGCCGGGCGGGCGGGCGAGCAGGCGGACCCCCTGGAGCTGTGCCCAGCGACAGCCGCCACAGGCGTGGCCAGGGCCTAAGTGCTTTGGCAGGCACCAGAGGAGGAGGTCGAGCGTGTTTGATTAGTCCAGGCCCTCTGCACTCCCGATCTCACCCCATCTGGCTGCGGTGCCCTCCTGCGGAGTTGTGGGGGGGGGCAGCCAGGCTGCCAGGGAGGGCTGGGGGCAGCCACCGGTCTCCAGCACACGTGGGCTTTTCACCATGGTGTCCAGGGCATGGAGCTGCCCCCAGGTCAAGTCACTGCCCAGGGTTTTGTGGGCATGAAGGTGCCAGGCTGTGATGCCGGGCGCTCTGGAGGGGGAAGGGAACGATGCCAGGCCCGGGGGAAGAGAAGGGATATAGTGGCTGTGGGAAGTCAGAGGTGTGTGTGTGCGCGCGCATGCTGCCATGTGTGCACAGTGGCATGTGCGTATCCACGTGTTGCTGTATGTGCACATACAGTTCCCGTAGGCAGTTCACGTGTGTACATGTGTGCTGCTGCTTGTGTATGCCCTATGCCATATCCATATATGCACCTACAGTGCACATGTGCGTGCAGTGCACGTTTTGTGTGTGCTCTGCGGACATGCATGCGCTGGGGGGGTATGTACAGCACGTGTGCACAGTGCTGTGTGCGTATGCATAGTGCCATGTGTGCATGGGTAGCGTGTGTGCCCAGTGCACGTGTGCGTAGGCAGCGTGCATGTGTGTTCTCTGTGCTGCACACGTGCACGT